TTTACAATTCTATTAAACAGCCTATACATGAACAGTTAGCTGGGAATATTAAACATACCATCGTCTCATCTTGATATCCAATAATAATTAAGTAAATTGTTAATTACCAATAATTAAAACAAATAATACTCTCCTTGAAAATGAGTATTGAAAAGTATTTTTCTCTTAAATCATTTATCAACGAGCAACAAGACAATGCTTACCTCGAGACAAAAATTGGTAGGAAAGCCAATAGAAAATTATTAATTATGTATATACAAAGTTAATTCTCAATATTATCAAGTTGTATAGTAAAAAATATTAAGTCATTTATTATTATAATACAAACAAAAAAATGACAAGATGTATGCAATGAAAGTGACTGGGATATTTAAAAAATTAAATATCGCTAAGATGTAAAAATTGTACTTGAAAAAAAAAAAAATTATATGGTAGTTTTCTCTCTCAATTTAAATTAGATTTAACTCACCTCGTTACATGTTAGTAAATGTGGTAAAGGAAATCTTCTTACTGCTCTTCTAACGTTACATTCGTCATTAAATTAACAATTATTAAAACGGATCGATTAAAAATTTTCCTAAATTATTATAACAAGAATCAGTTTATTTCCGAAAGAAATTAAATGGCATGGCAAGGATGGCATACCTCCAACAAAATACACTTTTTTGTTCTGAAAAGTCACATTTGAGCACTCGATGCTATAGTAAACGACGATTACAAAAGTTTTATAACACTTTTCCAAAGAATAAACGACAAAATAAAAATTTTAAGGTTTTAATGTCCTCACCCGTTTCAAATATTTATCGTCACATTCACATTTTAATCCATCTGATTAATAAAAAAAATAAATGCACGTTAACCCGTTGGAACCAATGTCTCCGTAGGCATCGTTGACGTCTCGTTGTTACTCAGTCTTTTGCTGATACGGACGTGAGCCGAGGTGTTGGCGGCGTCGTTTGTCGTGATTGCATCAGGGGAGACGGCAACGACGACAGGGGCTGTTGCTGGTTCTACGGGTGCTACGGCGGGTCCTTCGAAACGAATACCGGCCATTGGATGACCGGGGTAGTCAGGAGGTGGAGACGTCCTGGGCGGCTGCCCTTGGACGCTTTCGGGATCGCTGGTGGCGTACTGTCAGACTTTCTGCTGCTGTTGCTGCTGCATCTCGTACGCATTCCTGTCATACGCACCTGCATACAATCCCGGATTATTTGGTCTGCTTGACGCAGGGGGCGCGGATGCTAGCGGAGAATAATCTAGCGTTCAAAGAGAAACGAACGAGTGAGTTATGGCCACGACAATACGAACCTGTTTCATGAATGAAAATCCTTTACCCTTTTTATCTTTGCAATTTTGAAAGTCCTATCCACTTACTTGTAAGTCATCTAATTTTAAAATAGGGAAAGCAATAGGGCTAATTAATTACTATATCATGTGTTTGAGATTCCAATTATCAAATCTACATTAGATTTTTAAGGGAGAAAAACAATAGTAAATATGGTAGAGGNCATAAGTGGGTAAATTAAAACAACTCGTAATGGATATTTTTAAAGATACTGGTCTGTTATATACACCGGAAAATTGGAAAAGCTCTTTATTCTCAAAATTTAAGACAATCGAAAAGAAAATAATTGTTTGGCATTTAAACTGACGTATATTATTTTTTATACACTTGCTTTACTTTTAACGAGTGTTATGAATCTTTCTGATAGTGTTTATGATAAATCGGCAAGAATAATTCAAAAAGCTTATCGTCAATATGTAACTGCTAGAGAAAAATGTGAATTAGACAAAAATGGAAACCAAAGTTCGTAAGTAATGTACTACAATGCAATACTGTTGATTAACAATGAAATAATAAATTAGTAGGTTTGAAAATCAAACGAATACTTCTGGGCAATACAGCACACCTTCAAAAGTTTATTTCGATAGAAACGAAAATAAAAATTGCTCCTTAAACTTCTACAGTTCTAAGTGAGATATGAAACTGTATGTAATTTAATTTAAATTATGAAATATGTACAACATGCGCTCTTGTTTCAATGTTTAGCTAATTGAAATACTGTGTGTACCTCTACTTGTAGTTATAATGCAAACAAAACAGTTATTGATTACTTAGATTTGTGTCAGTTACACCTGAACACTTCAGGTAAACGAAACGTATTAAGTAGAAGTTTCTTAATCCAAAACGCGTGTACTATTTTAATAGTTAAAAAACGAGCTAAAACTAATTTAAAAAAATTAAAAGTTGGCTATTTATGACATTAAATAATCAAAGTTCTAATGGATCAGTCTATTGAAGAAAAATCTGCAAGAATAATACAAAATGTATTCCGAAATTATCAAAAAAAGAAAAAAGTTTTTGAGAACATCGACCGGTAAGTAAAGACCTAATGATACCTAAGTATTACGTTGTTGTCTATTGATTTTAAACTGCGTTTTACTTTCAGAATAGACGAAAGTAGTAATATATCTAGAAGTATTAAGTCAGACTTAAAATCCACATTGGAACTTTTACATGAGTATAGATCAAAACGAAAAGAACACTTTTCAGAAAGTCAAATAAAAAATTTAATAAATGGTGTAGAGCAAATAGTTTCTTCTATTAAATCATACCAAGCTCTTTGGTTTTCATCTGAAAATCAAACTGATAACGCAGAAAGTATTTATGAACAAGATATTACAACACAAGCTAAAAAACGCCATGAAGAATTCTTAAATTCAAATAAGAAGAAATGGTGGTATTCGTTTAATAAGCAATTGCGATGAAAATTATATTTCTATTAATAAATGAAATTTTATTGGACTACGAACCTTTAACATTTGAGTGAACCTTTTAGAGCATTTAAAAATTTTTAGGATAACTTAATGTTTAAAAAACTTTTGCTATATGGTGTATACAGGGACATCTACCGACAACTGGTAAAAAATGAAAATAAGATTATTAGCCAAACAGGACATCTATCAAATAGTTGGTGAAATGTACCTCACCGCTCAGTTGTATTATATAAAATAAAATTAATGTTTAATAAAGGTGTCTGATATACAGTAATGTACCACTGTTAATACCAATTAATTACATTTTGACAGATTTCATAGGATATTTTGTTAATTAAATTAATATAAATCTTATGAATATCACATTAGATGGTATATTATAGAATGTACCTTTTCTTGTTTATATTGTCATGAGTTGACAGTTAACGCTGAGGTTATGTAGCAAAGGGTTCCTCCCTTTATTATTTGTTTTTTAAATATAAATAAACGATACTTTGATTTTGTGTAATGCCTTAAAGTTATATTAAATCTTCTTAAAAGGTAAATAAATAAGACAGTTGTTCAAATGCAGTTAAGTTATGTGTGTGCTTCGTTTGTAACTTTCAGGTTGTTTTAATACTGAAGAAAAGAAGATGACAAGACAACCAGGTCAAAGCGAGCGAAAGCTCGCTGAAAAACTAATTATCTTGAATGATCGAGGAGTTGGAATGCTTACTAGAATCTATAATATCAAAAAGGCATGTGGAGATGCAAAATCCAAGCCAGGTTTCTTGTCTGACAAAAATCTTGAGTCATCAATTAAAAACATAGTTCGTCGGTTCCCAAATATAGATAGCAAGAGCTTACAACCTCTTTATGCAATTAGGAATGATATTATTAAAAGTTTGTCCCTTTATTATTATACATTTGTTGACCTATTAGACTTCAAAGACAATGTTTGTGAACTTTTGACAAGTATGGATGCTTGGCAGGTACATTTGGATATATCAGTGAATTTTGAGTTAACAAAGAACTACCTGGATTTGGTAGTCACCTATGTTTCATTAATGATATTATTATCAAGAGTCGAAGATAGAAAAGCTGTACTGGGTTTATTTAATGCTGCCCACGAAATGGTGCATTCTCAAAGTGATTCAAGCTTTCCAAGGCTTGGCAATATGATCATTGATTATGATGTGCCAATTAAAAAACTTTCTGAAGAGTTTTTGCCCCATGCCAAACTCCTTCTAAATGCATTGCATTCTCTACTGCCAGTATTTCCTGTCCGGAATGTCTCAGCAGATCAGTGGAGATCTGAATTGAAACTGAGTCTTGTTGGAAACCCTGGTACAGAAAATGTGTTTCTTTAATTATTTATTTATTTAATTATTTTGTGTTCTATAGGTCAGCTCCTAAAACCAGTCACTTCTGAACGTGTATCCTGTGAATACCTTTCTTTAGAATCCATGGAACGTTGGATCATTTTTGGCTTCTTATTATGTCATCAAGGTTTACAGCAAGATCATCTCAACAAAATGTGGGTGAGTGCTTTGGAGTCATCATGGGTCATCCCACTATTCCGGGACGAGGTTGTACACATACACAGCTATATTCAATCATACTTCGAGTCCTTAAAAGGTTATAGCAAAAGGGTTTCTGAAGTTAAAGACTGCTACAGTCAAGCAGTTCAAAAAGCCAGCTATAAACATAGAGAACGACGAAAGTTTCTTAGAACATCTCTTAAAGAATTAGGTTTAATATTGACTGATCAACCTGGACTTTTAGGACCAAAAGCTTTGATGGTTTTTATTGGTCTCTGTTTGGCAAGAGACGAAGTACATTGGTTATTAAGACATAATGATAATCCTCCCCAACAGAAAAGTAAGAATAAAACTAATCGTTTAAATGAGATTTCTGTAAGTACTTGTTCTTTAGGTAAGGGAAAATCTTCTGAAGATCTTGTGGACAGGCAATTGCCAGAATTGCTGTTTCACATGGAAGAATTACGCGTTTTAGTACGAAAATATAGTCAAGTTATGCAGAGGTATTTTGTGCAGTACCTGTCTGGTTTTGATGCTATTGCTTTGAAGCATATGATGCAAAATTTACAAGTGTGTCCTGAAGAAGAAGGTATAATCCTTTCTTCATTGTGCAATACTATTTCCAATTTATCTGTAAAGCAGGTGGAGGATAACGAAGTCTTCGATTTCCTGGCATTTCGGTAAATAACATTATAAAAGCTCCATAATTATTTTGTTAAGTAACGTGTTTGTTTATTTTATTTTATAGGCTTGATTGGTTTAGACTGCAAGCATACATGTCAACTGCAAAATCCCCAATGCCCATAATAGATAATCGGGACTTGGCTTCCTTTCTGGACGCCGTTCAATTCCACACAAGGATGGTAGACCATTTGGACGACATTATCACCGAAACGTCGGACCTGTCCATCTTCTGCTTTTACAGCAAAATCTTTGAAGACCAATTCCACATGTGCTTGGAATTTCCAGCACAAAATAGATACATAACAGCATTCCCATCGATTTGCAGTCATTTCCAAAACTGTACTCACGAATTATGTCCTGAGGAGCGTCACCATATTCGTGAAAGAAGTCTTTCAGTGGTCAACATGTTCCTTGACGAGATGGCTAAAGAAGCAAAAAATATTATTACGGCCATTTGCGATGAACAGTGCAAACTGAGCGACAAACTTTTGCCTAAACATTGCGTTGCTATTATAGCACAACAAATGAATAGGAAGAAGAAAGATAAGAACAAGAAAAACGCCGTTGAAATAGAAAAGCCTGGCAAAGAGAGCTACAGAAAGACTCGAGAGAATCTGACGACCATGGACAAACTACATATGGCGTTGACTGAACTCTGCTATGCCTTGAATTATTTTTCAACCATCAACGTTTGGGAATATACTTTTGCTCCTCGTGAGTATCTATATCAACATTTAGAGAACCGATTTGCAAGAGCATTGGTAGGCATGGTCATGTACAATCCAGACACCAACGAAATAGCAAAACCCTCAGAACTATTAGTCAGCGTTCGAGCTTACATGAACGTTCTGCAAACTGTTGAAAACTACGTCCATATCGACATAACTCGAGTGTTCAACAACTGCCTCCTACAGCAAACCCAAGCTTTAGACAGCCACGGAGAGAAAACCATCGCGGCTCATTACACCCAATGGTACTCAGAAGTTTTGCTGAGACGTGTCAGTGCTGGTAATATTTGTTTTTCAATGAACCAACGTTCTTTCGTTAGTCTGACAGCCGAAGGGACACTTCCATTTAATCCTGAAGAATTTTCGGATATAAACGAGCTTCGGGCATTAGCTGAATTAATCGGACCCTATGGGATGAAGTTACTCAACGAAACTTTGATGTGGCACATCGCCAGCCAGGTTCAAGAACTCAAAAAGTTAACCGAAGCGAATAAAGAAGTGCTGGTGTCGTTACGAACGAATTTCGACAAACCGGATATAATGAAAGAACAATTTAAAAAATTATCGAATGTCGAGAACGTTTTACAACGAATGACAATAATTGGAGTCATACTAAGCTTTCGAAATTTAGCACAATCCTGTTTGACTGACGTCCTGGAGGAGAGAATTCCTTTCCTTTTAAGCTCGATCCTAGATTTTCGTCACCATTTGCCTAGTGGGGATCCTATGAAAGTAGTAAGCGAGATGACATCTGGTGCTGGTTTGCCATGTAAAGTCGATCCAACATTAACGAGCGCCCTAAAACTCCAAAAACCAGAAATAGACGCAGAGGAGCATTTACTTGTATGTCTTTTGATGGTCTTTGTGGCAGTGTCGATTCCTAAACTCGCAAAATCGGAGCTTTCGTTCTACAGAGCTTCTTTAGAAGGACATTCCAATAATATTCATTGTATGGCACTTGCTATTAATAACGTTTTTGGAGCTTTATTCACGATTTGTGCTCAAGGAGACATTGAGGACCGTATGAAAGAGTTTTTAGCTTTGGCATCGTCTAGTTTACTTAGACTTGGTCAGGAGGCTGATAAGGATATAATTAAGAATCGAGAATCAGTCTATTTACTGTTAGATTTGATCGTTCAGGAATCTCCTTTCCTTACCATGGATTTACTGGAATCTTGCTTTCCTTATGCTCTAATACGGAATGCTTATCATGCTGTATACAAACAGGAACAAGCAATGATATAAAATTGTTTGAAACACTGAAATAGATATGTATTTGTATTTATCAATCTTTTTATAACTTAAATTATTTATTACTTTAAATTGCACTGACAATGAGTTGTGAGTGATGATTTGGGATAAGTGTTTGTAATTTACAAAGCACAGCAATTGTTAGGTGCAGCCAATATTTTTTTTTTAATACTAGATATAAGAGGTCTTATTGTAAATATTTTTAGTAAAAAACTAATAATTATAAGAAAATAGGAAGAATACAGGTGGTCGTCTCTAATAAAGTTTTGTTCAGCATTAGTTTATAAAGGGCGATGTGTCTTTCTCAACGAAACTTAAATATTTCCTCACGTCGATAGTTGAACGTTCTTTTGACTGAACTCGAATTTTAAATAACTTATTTACTCACAGTACCATTTTTTTACTAAATTTCAGAAAATCTCGTTGAAAAACACATATTAAACAAAATACAAATTAGTTAATGGATACCATGGTCTTTTACAGGCAATATTTATTCCAATTGAAGTCAGTATTTATGTATTGCAGATATGGTTACATATTTTATCAGTTAATTGTATTCATTATTTGTACCTTTAGTAGACTGAATAGTTTGTCTATATTTTATAATACAATATATTGCTTATCCATTTGATTCAAATTCGTTTATCATTTAATAATTAAATTATACTAAGCTTGTTATATAAAATATAATTTCATAGGTTTTTGTAGAAAAATATTTTTGCTAAATTCGTGTTAATTGTATACTGCTGCGAAATTTAAATGTTATTAAATAAAATTTTAATACCAAAAAGATTTTGCTTTTTTTTGACCTTGAACCATTTTATATTTAATGATTAGAATTCTAATAACAGTTTAAACAGTCACTTAAACAATAAGGGAGTAAGTCCTGGCCTTAAATTATTATTGGCTATGCTCAAGTAAAAGGAACCTATTTAATTATTATTAACTTCCCATTAGGAAGTTATTGTAATTGGGTCGAAAAGTGAAATCGGAATTTTCATTATATTTCCACGTTTTAACATATTAGTAGCATGCTAGCCAATTTTTTTGATGATGTGTGTATGTACGTACGTACGTACGTACGTACGTACGTATGTACGTACGTTCGTATGTCAGCATTTTTTTCGTTTTCGATATCTCAAGAACGGATTGAGATATCGCCCTCAACCAAAATTTTTTCGAAAGATATTATCATAATGAAGATCTGAAAGAAATTTGAACGAAATCGGTCAAGCCGTTTTTTTTTTATAAAAAAAAAACGAATTAATTACAAACAATTTAATTAAAATACGTTCTAATCTAATCACAACAATGAAGTTACGGAATCAATAATAACTGTATTATCTAATGGGAAGTTAGTCGTATTAGCACCGACCAAAGCGTGCTCAGACCAATTTTTTAGAAAATGTATTAGGTCTCACCATTTTAGAAAAATATGTTCCTCTCACATTTATCTTCTTTGACTGTAAAATAAAAAATAAAAAAAAGTTTGTAAAGTAATGAAAAAATTTTATTCATATAATATAACACTGCCTATTGAAAAAGAGACGCCACGCTTCCGTTTTTCTTTATTGATTAATCTAATTTAATTATTAAAAAGTAATTGTTAAATCAAATAAATGCATGAATGGGAAAGGCGGTGTCCCTTGCAGTTTGTCGACATCTTATCCTTTAATAATAATCTTTCTTTCTCGTTCTCTCATTAATCAACACACAAGCCATTATGAGACAATAATTGGTCAATGAGTGGAATAATATACCTATTTACACATCAAAATGTACAACAAAAACAACTGTCAGTCATACACAGCTGAAAACTGCGTCACAGGGCAGCATTTTGTTTTTGGAAAAAGCCACAGGTCAGGTATTTCAGAAATAATTATGACCATTTTAAATGTCAGGCACATGATTCCTTTATTTTAAATATATAATTTTTGGACATTCCCCAATTTAATGTAATTGTTTTATTGCTTTTAAATATCCACATTTCATTAGATACAGTTTTGTATATTACTTGTTAGTTCCAATTCTTTAGTAGAAAAATTATAGAAATAGTTAACCCTTGTTCTCCCAAGTGTTTCTCAATAATACCCCTTTTTAAAATAAAAAAGTACTGTCACGGTACCCCTGGCAGATGTGAAATATCGAAATTGGGATTTATTGAAGAAAATGAGTCCAAGTCTTTAACAAGACGACGGAAAAAGCCGATGAATTACGAGTATGGTCGAATGCCAGAGCGTCGTCCCGCCTTGCTACTGTTTAGTCGATTTTGCATCCTAGGATGGATCAAACGGTGGTTCACATCAAAATCATTCTACAAATACATTATAAACTTTGAGAATGTCCAGTTCAGATATATCGTTACTATTATTATAAAGGGATCGTGTGCCCCATTGGAAACAAGTTGTACTATCAAAGATCGTATATGTGATGTTTTTCTGTCTGTTTTTTCGTTTTCTTGTGAATATCACACATTTAAAAAGATTACTTCTTTTATTTACATTGTATGTCTGGTTCTGAAGCATTTACACATACTTGTCATGAGTTACAATACAAAAATAGTCATTCGAGAAAAAATATCAAGAAGACATTATCATTATCAATATATAATATATATAATATATGTATATGTATGTATCTACATATATGAGATCCGTTATTATTTAATTTAATTTACAATTCTATTAAACAGCCTATACATGAACAGTTAGCTGGGAATATTAAACATACCATCGTCTCATCTTGATATCCAATAATAATTAAGTAAATTGTTAATTACCAATAATTAAAACAAATAATACTCTCCTTGAAAATGAGTATTGAAAAGTATTTTTCTCTTAAATCATTTATCAACGAGCAACAAGACAATGCTTACCTCGAGACAAAAATTGGTAGGAAAGCCAATAGAAAATTATTAATTATGTATATACAAAGTTAATTCTCAATATTATCAAGTTGTATAGTAAAAAATATTAAGTCATTTATTATTATAATACAAACAAAAAAATGACAAGATGTATGCAATGAAAGTGACTGGGATATTTAAAAAATTAAATATCGCTAAGATGTAAAAATTGTACTTGAAAAAAAAAAAAATTATATGGTAGTTTTCTCTCTCAATTTAAATTAGATTTAACTCACCTCGTTACATGTTAGTAAATGTGGTAAAGGAAATCTTCTTACTGCTCTTCTAACGTTACATTCGTCATTAAATTAACAATTATTAAAACGGATCGATTAAAAATTTTCCTAAATTATTATAACAAGAATCAGTTTATTTCCGAAAGAAATTAAATGGCATGGCAAGGATGGCATACCTCCAACAAAATACACTTTTTTGTTCTGAAAAGTCACATTTGAGCACTCGATGC